AAAAAAAAGAAATAATAGTCGTTATAGGCTAGTCCACCAACTGGAGCAGGCTTCTTCATAAACCTTAAATCTAAGACTAATCCTAAGCTGTTTCTCAATTTGTATTTTTATTTAACTCATACCCTGATTTTCACTATTGTTCCTGCAGGAAAAACTTGTTCTAGTTCCTATATCCTAATCTATACTTCAACTTCAAATTCTAACCCTTCCATTTTTTTTTTTTTTTTGGTATTGGGGATTGAACTCAGGTCCTTGCGCTTGTGCAGCAGGCGACGAAACCACTGAGCTAAATCCCTGACCCAAACCCTTCCATTTTTTCAATATCCCACCCTTTTCCCACCCTTCTCTCTCATTCCTAGTAAATACTATAAATTGCTATTCAGCTAGTTCTTCGTCATAAACTAAACACTGAGATAATTCTCATTATGCATCTTCTCATCCATCCTATCCTACTCCATGAGGTAGTATATTAATTTTCCCATTTTACAGTTGAGAAAATTGAGGCTCAATGAATTTGTCCAAGCTCCATTATCTAGTAAAGTTTTAATAGGGTGGGGGATTTAGCTCAGTGGTTCCCACGCCTGCATCATAAGCACAAGGTCCCAAGTTTGATCCCTGGTACCAAAAAAAAAAAGCTTTAGTAAATCTTTTAAAATTATTTAAAAACATATGTATTTATTTAAGAGTTTTTGAGCTAGGGTCTCACTTTGTAGTTTAGATTAGCCTTGAACTTGCTGTGTAGCTCAGGCTGGCCTCAAATTTACAATCCTCCTGCTTCAGCCTCCTGAGTGTTAGGATTATAGGTATGTGCCACCATGCCCAGCTTTTTAATTTTTTTTAATGTTTAAGGTTATGATACCCTTGGCTCTAAGTAAAAGAAAACTTAAAATGGTCTTAATAATACTGAAAATAAAAGGTTAATTCAGTGGTTCTACAATACTATCAAACACCCCAGCCTTTCTGTTCTACTAGCCATCCTTGATGTATTCAGGATTTGTCCCCAGGTTAGCTTTCTGCAAGGCTTTAAAATGACTGTGCAGTTCATTATCACATTATCAATGTCTATAGGTAAGAACAGACATAATTTCTTCCTGTGCATGCCTTTTTAGGAGCAAACCGACTTTTCCCAGGGCTCTCCCCACCAAAGCAGACTTCTCATATTGTCCAGAATACCAGAAGCCCATTGCCTAGCCAGTTGTTGGCAAGGGGAATGGGACTAGTATGGTGGACCCAGACTAATCAAGACTCATTTCTGGGGCTGGATCACCACACCTCCCTATACTTCCTGGGTGAGGAACAAAATTAGGAAGGGAGATGGGAGTTGGGAATAGGAAGTCATCAGAGACTGCAACCAACAGTGTCTGTTACAGAGTCTGAAGCCCAGGTCTAACCCTTGACACTCCACTGCTATTCTGGGCTCTCCCCTCAGCTGCTACCCTCACTGGCAGATTCCTTAACTGTGAGCCAAGTCTCCCAGACTAACTCTAAATGACACACACCACGGCCATCAAGAACAGTGAGGAACATGTAATGTGTTTCTTGAGGCCCAGGGCTCTTGCACAATTCCCCTGAGATATTAGTGTTGTGTCTGGTCAGTACAGGCACTGTCACAGCCTGGAAGTGGGAAGAAATCAGAAAAGTGGCCAGCCTGCCCCTGCCTCGCTCCAGAGCTGAGTTCTTTCTTTTTCTTTTTTTTTTGGTACCGAGGATCAAACTCCGGGACCTTGCGCTTACGAGGCTGGCGCTGGAAACACTGAGCTAAATCCCCGGCCCCAGAGCTGAGTTCTTATCCTGTTCCCTTTCTCTCTCAGATCTGGTCCTCCTGGTCTGTACTTTTCCTCCTAGAATTTGGATTGGTTTCTTCACAGAGTCTAACTAGCTCCTTGGTCTTACACCACAACTCAATCCTCATACTTTGTTCTCTCAAACTCACACAATAAGAAAACCCACATTCACCTAATTAATAACCACTCATTGATCTCCTGTGTTAGAAGAGTCACCATTAGACAGTGAGGTAGGGAATTGTTTTAGTACTTGTGTGCCAGGGTTCTTTCATACACACTAGCTTACTTTATCCTTAGAATACCTCAGTAGGTTAGCTTATTTTAACCTTCATGTTAGTGTAAAGCCAGGTGTGGTGGCACGTGCCTGTAATCCCAGCACTTGGGAGGCTGAGGCAGGAGAATTGCTGCAAGTGTGAGGCCAGCCTGGGCTACATACTGAGTTCAAGGTTAGCCTGAACTACATAGTGAGACCCTGTCTCAAGAAACAACAAAAAAAACCCCACTAAAAAACAATCCTCCCCCCAAAAAACTAAAACACCTTTCCCTCTACTTCCCAGGACCTACCTTCAGAACCTGGGTCTGCTACCTCACTATGGGGGCTATGTGCCAGGTGAGAGGAGGCCGAGGGAGGCTTTGGGAACTGGAATGCTTATGTGTATATGGGGGTATGGGAGTGGTGTGGGGGACTGCAGCAAATAGATATGAGGGGATCTCAGACCAGATGATTCATTCAACTTTATCATTATACAGAAAAAGAACCTGAAATAGCTCATAGTGTTTAAACCAGATTTTAGATGGAGGGTTTAGGCAACTGGCTGAGAACTAAATAGCTTTTTCATGCCACTGGCTACATTTGACAGATTCCCTTGGCCACACAGGGTATAAGTTCCAGTTCGGCCACACCTTTGGACATCTCACCCATGATGCTTTGGGCCTGAGCATTTCCCAGAAGCAGCTCCTGGCTTAGGTACCTGGTCTTCAAGTTCTACTTTCCTTTTCATCCTATCCCAGCCATCTCTTGGGAGAGGTGGACACGAGGGTGATTGTGGGGGGCAAAAAGAAAACAGTTTGGAGGCTGAGCACCTTTTTTATTAATAGGTGTAATAAATAAATAAATAAATACATAAACAGAAGCCTGGGCTCCTTCTCCCTCTTCTGATGACCAGCCACTGGTCACAGTGTATTTACAGTTTGGGGGGCTGAGAGATCTAGCCCCAATACTGTTAACCATCCTCATTACTACTTGGCCTAGGAAACCCTACAAATGGCCTTCTGGGCTACCTCCCTCTGTAGGGACTTGCTGCTCTACACCCATGGAAGGGTTGGCCCAGATGGTCGGGGACATCCTGGCAGCCCAGTGATACATCCCTTCCCTCCTTTATTGGGTGGAGGTCTGGACATAGTCACTGGGACAGTTAAGGGGAGTAATTAATACTGAGCACAGGGAGCAGGTGCCAGCACAGGGATATGTGGCCCCCAGCTCTCAGTCAACTTTATACAGCCAAGCCTGAGGGCTTGGGAAGGGTTCTTGGGCTCTCCGGCTGGGGGTTATGAGGGTCCCTGAGGCCACCAGCATGCACAGGGCCTCAGTTTTGGCTGCTTCCAGGGGTTGGAGTTGGAGTTGGGGTCAACGTCACATAGGCCAGAGGCACCAAGCCAGTGTCAGGGCCATGGCTGCAGCGCAGCCAGTCTCCTCCGGCTAGTCCCAGCACCCGTAGGACGTCTCCCTTGTGGAAGCTCAGCTGTCCGGGGCCTGTGGCCAGATGGTGGCACATTGCCTGCACCTCACTGGAGAAACAACAAATGGAGGTCAGAAAAACCATATCAAAAGCTAAATCCAGCTCCCTATCCTCTGGTTTCCTGGGGCTCACCATGGAGGCTGGGAAGGCAGGGCTGGAGAGTGTGGTTCCTGCAGGCTCTCCTTGGGCTCTGGCTCCCGGCGGGCACCCATTGTCTGTGCCACTAACTGGAACACGGACTTGTCCAAACTCAGCCAGTCTGAGGGGAGCCTAGGACAGAGAAGCCAAACTCTGGCTCTGTCCGTGCTCTAGCTTAGATTAGGCTCCCCTACTCCCTCTGTCTATATCGTGGTGGGACTCTCACCTGTTTATGGACCGGGCGTCTCGCTGAGCTTTTCGGGAACCAAAGAGGTGTCCCCACTTGATGCCCCCAGGTGAAGGCTCAGAGGTCCCTTCCTCATTTTCTGCTGGCGGGGCAGGAGGCCCCTCCCGCTCCCGACTGCACCTCAGCTCAGCCAGCACGGAGTCAGGAGGGCTCCCCATCCAGAAGGGCCAGCCCTTCTCCCGGCCAAGGGCCTCCTCAGGGGCTGGGCAGGCCTCAGCCCCTTCTACTACTCCCTCTCGTGGCGGTGGAGCTTGGGGGGGTCCCCCAACTCCTGCCCCTTTCTTTTTCTCACTACCACTACCGCTGCTGCTGCTGCTTCGAGGGAACCGGGAACCCTCTGTGGAGCCATCAATGTAGACCTGGGAGCTCTGCATGAGCTGATACCACCAGCCAGCCTGCCCGCTTCGAGCCCACCTGCCATGTCCCAAACCCCCAGCTGGCTCTGCCACCTCTTCTGACTCTTCCTCTTCTCCACCTTCCGGGGCACCTACACCCTTCACCCGCTCTCCATGAGTTGTCCTGTCCATGTCTCCAGGGCCCTCCTGGCTCCGGGCTCGGGCCAACTGAAGTGTGGAGTGGGCAGACAGCAGCAGGTCCTGGGACACCCGCAGTAGTTCCTTGTGCTGCTGCTGCTGCTGCCCACTTTGCAGCAGCCGGTGCTGGAACAGCAAGTCAAGGCTGAAGGGCAGCAAGGCCAGGGGCTGTAGCAGCAGCAGCAGCTCCTCAAAGAGGCCAGGGCACACGGTGTGAGCTGCACTTAGGAAGCCCCAGGGCTGGTAGTGGGTCTGGATGATGTCTAGGGGAAAGAGAGAGACTGAGTCACACAGAGAAGCAGGCCTGGCCCTAGTGGGGCAAAGAAAGGCAATGCGTGAGCCCGTGTGCTGCTGCCCAGGCTGTGTACTGCACAACTTAGATGTGCTCCTGCAGTTATGCAGTGCACAAACTCTACTACCCTCAGTGATAGCTCTGCATGTAGAGAGAAGTGTTGGGGGTTTTGGCACCCCAGCTTCCAGACTGCCTGAGTTTCCTGCTGCCTCCAAGGTTCTATTCAAGTAGAAGCTGGGAAGGACTTGGGTAGAAGTCCAAATCTCTGAGGATGAAGGCTTGTGTGGCCCCCCTTACCAACTCTAAAATCTGAAAAGACAGTGATTCCTCCCTCTTTTGAGCCTCTGAGGTCTATATTGAGTTTGTGAGACACAGTGGGTTCTGGGCATTACCTTCATGGTTAAACAGGTGATTAAACCAGAACTCCAAGGACCGGATGCTGCAGGGAGATAAGTAAACAGAGTTGAATCTTGTTTGGAGATAGACAGATAATAAGGTAAAAAGAAAACAAGGCACAGGGGTCAGACACAGGAGAAGAAGTATAGGTGAACATCTTCACTTCACAGAATACAATTCTGGAATGTCAGTGACGACATGGGGAGTGGGGCAAACACATGATCTACAAGCCAATCACTTTTCCCTAGAATGGAGTCAGTTTGTACAAGACCCAAGAAGTCAGGTAGCTACTGAGTGAAAGGACCAAAGGGGCTCAGGGGCTGAGCTGGGCCCATATTTGAGAAAGAACACTATAACATGGGTCCTGAGGTGAGCTTAGTGTTCCAGCACGATTTGGAAGCAGAGCTGGAGTTGAGAGGATCAGGGTTCACAAGATCCAGAGAGACTAAGAAACCTATTTAATTTCCAAATAAGCCAGGTTATGGAAGACCAAGCTGGGGAAGACCATGTTGGTGATCAGCATCAGAGGGATGTGGGTATAGAGGGAAATGGCGTCTACCAAGAGGCTGCAGCTAGGTGGGAAGAAAGTGAGCCTGCACCCTAGCACAAACCCTGCAGATCTGCCTGTCTCTGTCAGAGGGCTGCTTCCTTAGAGGAGGCAGAGCCTGGTGGGGCAGGGTGCTGTTCAGGAGCTCTTGCTGCTCCACACACTCACTTGAGCAGGCCAAGGATGAATGCATTGAAGCGCATGGTATGACTGGTGAGCTCTGGAAACTGGCTGACTTTGTTGCAGAGACCATGCAGGACCTTGGTGGATGGGCCTGGGAAGAAGACAGGGTTATAGATCACACGACCAACTTCTGGAACCCTAAAGTCAGTCTGGGGTCCCCATCTTGCCACCTAGCCCTTACCCAGCTGTGTGGAAGCTTCAACCACACTCCATGGCATGTTCTTCCGTTGCCCAATGATCACATCTAGCACAAAGGCCTTGAGTCCATCCTCCAGCACGGCCTGGACTGCAGGGCACAAGTACTTGAGAACAAGGTGGCCAACGTTTGGGCTCACAGAACTGTTTCCAAGCTTTGCCTGCAGGTGGATTAGGGAAATTCAGAAAATCTCGGGAAGCCTCACTTTGGTTCTCTCCTAGTCAGTCCTATTTCCCCTCTTGCCACCCCACTGCTGAGTTCCAACTCTGGGCTCTAAGTTCAAGAGAGCAGGGGAAGGTGGCAGCACACAACAGTGAGGGTCCACTGGGCAAAGCTCAGTTCTGCACATTTTCTTGCCTACCTTTACCCCAGGATCCCGGCTTGTGCCAAAATGGGCCACAATGAGGTCCACAGCAGTATTGACAGCTTTTATCAGTCCTGCAAAGAAGAATTTGATGGGACAGGTTCCTGAGCAAGTTTCTAGCCAACCCAGAGGAACCCTCAGTGGGGACAGGGAAGTGCTCCCACACTTACTGGCAATTTCCACCTATGTCCTCAGATCTCATGGAGACATCCAGGCCTGGCCTTCTTCTGTTTGTGCCACTTCTCAATCACTCCTGTCTTTACCTTCTAGCCTGGACCCACCTCAGTGCTACCATTGTTAAGGTCCTCTACGTCCTCACTTCCTAGCACTGTTACTCCAATACTGAGTAAATTCAACTGTCAGACTTCTCTGCTTTGAGAGGAAAAACCAGGTCCCTCACAGTGGTGCCAGACATGGGTGATTCTCTGGTATGTGCCTTGTCAGCACCCTCTGCTACACAGTCAGGTTGTCATGCCAAATCTTTACCCTTCTTCGCAAGCCCTTGGTTCCACTTCGCACAGAGAACAAAGGCCACTGGCCATGAACTCCTTCAGTTCCTCTCTCTCTCCAAAACCCGTAATAATATTCTATCTATACCGGTCCCTCCCTGCTGCTTTCCTTTTCATTTCTGACTCATTTCGGAGGAAGGTAGGTGTTTATCTTCTTACCTAAAGTCCTCCCCTTCCTCTTCTTTTTTTGGTGTGTTATATTGTTTATTGATCTTGTCACAAATTATCTAGTTTGAGGTTGGTATATTTAGTGAAGTTGCATATTAGATTTTCTCTGGTTCCTTTAAAATGCTAGGGTGTAAACATGTATAGGAAAAAAGATATATTGGACCTATGAAACAAGTTTATGGTAGTTCAGATTCATCTGCTGCAATATAAGTTCTTGAGGACAGAAGTCTTCACAGCCTGACTCTTGGTAGGCAATCTTCAGTAAATGGTAAACAGTTGGGGAGAGTACATTTTTGATAACAGCAGGATGCAGTTAAGACTTGCCTTTATTTATTTTATATTTAATTTTTGTGAGAAAGGGTCTTGCTATATAGTTCAGCCTGACCTTGAACTCACTATGTAGGCCAGGCTGGCCTCCAACTCACAGCAATCCTCCTGCCTCAGCAGAATTACAAGCATGTGACACCACGCCCAGCAGGCTTGCCTTTAGTAACAGATCTGGTCCTCTGATGAAGCCATAGAAACTTGGATAAGGTCAAGGTCTAATGTCATAGGTATTGGAGGTAGGAAGACCAGCTGTTTTCTTCCATCCTTGAACTTTTAATTGAGAAGCCTTTAATGAACTAGGATGCTAAGACTTTTTGTCTCTGGATTGTAGAACTAGTTTGTACAGGTTCAGGTCCATAGTGGGCTGACTTCTAGGCAGGATGGCATGGCAGAGGAGAGTTGCTCCTGTTGTGGCGGCCTTTTCCCTCTTCTTAAACTCTTACCCTCACTATCTGTGCAGGGAACTTCAGCTCCATTTTTTTTTCCCTTTCCACAGGTCCTGGCCTTTAGCCCACAAATGTGCTCAATTATTTTCCCATCATCTCCCTGAAACTGTTCTTAGTTTAGTGGTTGCGTGTTTGCCAAACAGTATTTTTTGTCAGTTCTCACCTTATTAGATGTCACCAAGCTGCTAGGCCCTGTAGCACCTTCCATTACACCCACTGGAGAGCTTAGGCACTTATTACATGGCGGTTCCCTCTCACTATGCTTAGTTTATTGAGGGAGGGGGACTGGAGCCCAATTCTCAAGCATCTGACTTGTGCTCAGTCACACAGTACACGGACTTCCACCTCCTGCTCCAGGGCTCTCCAACTCCTTCCCAGCACTTGGAGTTTTAAGATGGAAGATATTCTAGAGATATCTATTCATGAATGAATAGGCATTGACAGCAGAATCCCTGGCCTGAGTTGGGTGTTATATGTACCTTTTTTTTGAAGCAGGTCAATGGAAATAGCCTCTGAACTGCCATCTGGGGACAGACAAAACTCAGCAGGAGGCTTCTCAGTCAAGGAAAAGGGGTCTTGGAAATCTGGGTAGGTCAGTGGTAATGGCTTCACTGCTTGACCTGGGAAGAACAGAAAAATCAATCCTAAGCAACTCTCTTTCCAAGGGTTCCAACTCAGTTAAGTGCCTTGTACCTTCTGAGACAACTTCTGTGGGACTAACTCCGTCTCTATCCCTTCCCAGCCATGGCACAGCATGCCCTGAGTGCCCTTGTCTACACACCATTTAGCCGACAGTTCAGATGGCTGGTAGCACTGAAGGAGCCAGGGAACTCAAAGATGGGGTTCCTGCGAGCCAGCTGTGCTTCCTGAGGCCTTCGGTCTAGGCTCCCTGACAAACCAGGTGGCCCTAGTGGGTTCTTCCTCCTGTATTCCCGCCACTTGAGGGCTTGAGGAGATAAGTGGTTGGCTGGAAAGAGAACAGATGAGCAGAAGAGAAGGACAGGTAAGAGTTAGGGAACAGTATTTCACAGCCACCCAATGGGCTCATGTAAAACACTAGGGTTGAAAGTATTCAAAGGAGAGGTAGAATTGCTTGAGCAGGGGACGAAACTCATACCATTATTGGGCCTGGAGGCCATGCTGCCCTCACCACCTCCTCGGGCCAGGCTCTCTGCCCGGCTGAAGCCAGATCTCCAGGAGCCCAGAGGTGGCAAGCTTCCTGTTCCATGGAGTCGGTACTCAGCCAAGGTCAGTATCTTCTGATCCTCCTTCTGTGGCTGCTGGGAGGCGGCAGGCCGAACAGCTGAAGAACAAGAATGGCTCCATGCGGGCAGGCTTTCAGGGGCTGTGGCCTGCTCTGGAGGAGGGGAGCAGGAAGTAGAGGCAGAAGAGTCAGTGAAGGGGCCAGCACTCTGGATGGGGGAGTAGCTGCCCAGGGGTGATGGCCTCGAGGTCTCTGGCTCAGGCCCAGCTTTCCTGGCACCTCTGCTAGGGGTTTGGGGTGACGATGCCTGTGGCTCCTCTGAGGGAGCTGGGGCTGGGCCCTGAGCAGCAGGGACAGCCAGTGAGACAGTTTGCTGCACACGGCTGCAGCCTGAGAGGCTGTAGAGCTGGGAAAGGCTGTGGAGGGCCCGGGCCTTGGCCAGCTGCTTGGGGAAGTGGTGCTGGAACACGAAGGGCTGGATGGGCAGCGTGGTTGGCCTCTGCTCCTTGCTGTAGCGCAGGACCGGTCGGCTTTCAGCACCACCCCCTGTAGCAACAGGGATGGAAAAGGAATCAGGTGGACACATTGAAACTCACATGAGGATATACAGAAGCAGAGATAGCACATAATGCCTGCTGGGAAAGATGGGTAGAACCTGGGTGGTATGATGGGGCAGGAGTAATTCCAGTTTACAGAATGGGACTTTGCTCCCCCTTCTGTTAAGCATTTCCTATTTTACGGTTTTAATACTGGGGTTATGCCTCTTTGCTGTTCAGTCTGTCTTTATTTTCTTGACCTCAGAGAAGGGTATATTTTAAGGCCATGATTCAAACCTCAGAGGCCACATCTGCTCTCTCTGTACAGAGGCTGGGCCTCTCTTGTTCTTTCAGCAAGTCTTCATGTTAGTGTGCCCCAAAACACTGGGCTCAGAACCAACAGAGCTCCAGGATATGTACTTGTTTGTATGGACTGTGCTTTTTTTTCTTTTTTGGTACTGGGATTGAACTCGGGACCTTGCGCTTGTGAGGCAGGCGCCGGATGGACTGTGCTCTTAATAACACTGAATTCTGTGAACATGAATGGTGCCATAAGCATTGACAGGGCCTAAAACCATGGGCATGGCACACTGGCAGGGTGGCCCAATACTCTTGATAGGCCAGGAAAATTTAGAAACATTAAGTTATTTGCCCAAGTTCACACAACCAGGAAGTGGCAGAGCCAGAATTCTGGCTAAGTCAGAGCCTGACATTGGAGACAAAGTTTTTTTTTTTTGGTACTGGGGATCTGCGAGGCAGGCGGCAGCACCGCTGAGCTAAATCCCCTTTCTTTATACCACATTATACTACATATTAAATAGTGTCAGGCTGGGTTTTCCTGCTCCTCATCTTTATTTTCATTAAAGGATGGGAACCACAGCCTCCTTAGGGAGGTGTTTCAGAATCATGCCCTGGGGACATTTTCAAACTTTACCCTCCTGCTACCCACCTCTGCTTAGAAAGCACTTTGTCATTCTCCCTTTGTTCACTAGGTTTTAGTCACACTTCCTTAATTATGCCAAGTTCATTAACATCTTGGGGCCTTTTACACCTGTTATTCCTTCTGCCTGAAATCTCACTCCTCAGACATCAGCTGTAATATCACTCCTTCAAGTAAGACCTTCTTTGACAAGCATAGCAACTCCAGCAAGTCACTCTCTAGCCATAACCTGGTTTCCTTTTCTTTCTATTTTTTTTTTTTTCGTACCGGGGATAGAACTTGGGTCCTTGTGCTTTCGCAGCAGGCGGGGAAACCACTGAGCTAAATCCCGGCCCTGGTTTCCTTTTCTTTTTGGCATTTTTCATTATTAGATATTATCTTTTTATGTGTATATTGCCTATTACTTTTCCTAAGAGCTCTAGAAAAGTAGGGATTTTATAGTGTTCATTGCTGTATCCCCAGTATCTAAAATAGGTCCTGGTAACAGAGTAGGTACTGAATAGTTAAATGAATGCTTTTCACTCTTGATTCAGGCATTTCCCTGCATGTAGAATCATCTTACATAAATCAGCTAGTTCCTTGAAATGCCAAGTTATTTCATCTGTGGTTCCCAATGCTCCCAGAACAAAGTCTAAAGGTAGGCAGGTAGGTAGGAATCTATACTTGCTACAAATTAGGCTGCTCTCTCCTCCTCACACTTCCATACCTATCATCCCCATTGACTACTCTTCCCATCCCTTCCCCATTTTTAAGCAAACTGCTTTTCCCATTGGGAATGTCTTCTTTCTTTCCATTTATTTAATCACATTTCAACGCTTGGGGGCTGGGAATTTAGCTCAGTGGTTCTGCTGCCTGCCTCGCAAGCACAAGGACCCAAATTCGATCTCCAGTACCAAAAAAAAAAAAAAAAAATTTCAAGGCTGAGCTGACGCTGGCTGTCAGGTTAGGCCCTTTCAGCCACAGCTCTATAAATGCTCTATATAAACCATGTCTGAATTAACTATTTAGTACTACTTTAAAAATCCTCCCCCTAAGCTCCTGGGACATGATATGGGGCAGACGAATAAGATCAGGTAAGAAAGGGGCCCAACTTGGGGAATGGGTCTTGGTTCTACCCTCAGGGAAGACAGAGAACAAGTTTTCTCACTACTCCATGTTACAGCCCCTAAGAAAATTGGAGACAGAGATCATGTTCACCTGAGTGTGCTCTTCTCTGGTTCTTAAAATCTAATGCCCAGTTTTTTCTTTCTTTATTTTTTTTTGGTACCAGGGATCAAACTTGGGACCTTGCACTTGCAAGGCAGGTGGTGGAACCACTGAGCTAAATCCCCAGCCCTGCCCAGTTCTTTCTTAAAATCTAATGCCCAGAACTCCGGAATACCAGCAAGCATTCATTGGTTCAGGACTGGAAACTATTATCAACTCTTCCCTGCTAGACTCTATGAATAAATCTAGCATTTTAACTTTCCAAACTGCTGACTCATTCTGAGTTTGCAATCAATTAAATATTCCAAATCAACTCAAATACAGTGTACCTGTCAAACTTTACACTGGTGTCTGCTTTTGTTCTTTAAGTATGACAAGATCTAGCTGGGTGTGGTGCATCCCCGTAATCCCAGCATTTGGGGAGGGTGAGGCAGGAGGACTGCAAGTTTGAGCCCAGCCTGGGCAATGTAGCAACTGAGCAAAACCCTGTCTCAAAATAAAAAATTTTAAAAAGGGCCAGGGATGTAGATTAGTGAGAAGGTTCTAGGCTCTTGACTGAGATCCAATGTGGCTTCTCAGCTTCTTTCTAATAAATAGGAAGTAGGAAGAAGTACAAATAATTCCCCAAATTACCTATTCTATTGTTTAAAAATTATTTTAATATATGCTAATTTGTTTCATTTATATTACTAGTCTCAGTTCATTGAAAAGAAAATTTTGAGCTATTATGTTTTTCTTCTTTATAAGTCTTTTTTGTCTATGTCTTGCACTCTGAGTAACTACTTTTAAGATTATGATACACAGCAAATTAACTATTGCTATCCTCTTACTATTTTGTTATGAAATTTTATTTTTTCATAAAATGAAAAAGAAAGAAAGATTAAAGAAAATCAAGAGAAGAGCTCTGTTGCAGGTCACTGGAGTCTTATAGAACAGAGAAGTATCTTGCCATGGAAAGTCTTATCTGGTAGAAAAAAACAATTTTAATGCTTTTCTTCCCATTTCTGACCAGGAGTTTTCTTGCCTTAAGAATGCCAGCCATAGCATCCCATCAGATACACCCACCAGACCCTGCAGTCTAAAAGGAGTGGGTTCCAAAGGTCCTAACCAATCGCTGAGTCTACCTCTTCACTGTAGACCTCCTTGGACCTCTGCCGCAGAACCAGCTCCTCTGTGCATGTTAAGGAGTGTGACGTATTCTGATGGACTATGCCCTCTAAGGGCATGGACAACACTATCTATGGTTTTCTAACCTCTTTCCTTTGAGAAGACACAGACCCCTAAGACTACAGGTGCAACTGTGGGGGATCTGCTGCCTCTGCTTTTCCTTCTCTTTCTTTCCAAGCCCTCTGAGATCTGGCTTCTGCACTCACCACCTACTTCAATGCTGTTTTCAGGATTTGTCACCTGGGTAACTTCTCTTTAGACCACATTTGCTTGAACCTAACTTTTTTGAAACTTTTCCTCCTTTGGTTTCTCTGACGTCAGTATCTTCTGGTTTTTCTTCTATTTTTTTTTGGCTAATTCATCTGTCTCTTTTGAGGTTTGCTCTGCTCACTTTATAAATCATTCTATCTTCAGACTCTATCCTTGTTGGCTTTATAACTCCACACATTCTTCCTTTTTTGCTCTCATCCACTCATATAGCTTTAACTCCCACTTTTATTGCAATGCCTTTCCAATCCACATAGAGGTCTCTCATGACCTCAGATACTCCTTGCAGCCCATGTTTCACCCAAACCACCAGTGATCTTTCTTTCTTTTTTTTGGTACTGGGGATTGAACTCGGGACCTTGCACTTGCAAGGCAGGCGCCGGAACCACTGAGCTAAATCCCTGGCCCAACCAGTGATCTTTCTAAGATAAAAATCAGATATGTTACTAAGCAAACAAAAAACCAAACCAAAATGCCAACACAGCCACTTCCTTGATTAAAACCCATCCATGGTTCCATCCCCATCCCTCAAAAGCTATACCAAATTACTGTACTTGCAATTCCTGGAAAGCATCTGGCTATACCATGCCCTGTACAGGCCATTCTATGAGTCTGGAATATTTTTACAAGGCTCTACAAGGCCTACATTAATCATCTTCTAACTGGGCTTAAATGTAAACTGTGTTAGCGAGCCTCCCCTGACATTTCAGTCTAATTTCAGTATCCCTTGTCACTGGCCATACGCTGCCATCTTTGCATTTTAGTGATGTTTCTTTTTCTGTTTCTGTCCCCAGCTGAAGTTCCTTGAGGGCAGAGTTTGTCTCCATTCCTCTCATTATCTCTGTCACCAGAACCATCTGAACACGGAAGCTGGTATAAAATAATTGCTTAAAATATAATAAAGTTGAGAGGAAGAGGAAGAGGGAGAGGGCTGGCCCAGATAGGCCAGGTCACAGTTTTTTCTTTTTTGGTAGAAAAGCAGTCTTAACTGTGTTGCCCAGGCTGGCCTTGAAATCCCGGGCTCAACTGATCTTTCCACCTTAGTCTCCTGAGTATCTGAAACTATAGGTGTGTGCCACTGCACCTAGCTGAGGTCTCAGGCTCATCAGAGAATGGCTATAGTCACTGATCAAAGAATGGACTTCACTGATATCCAGTGTGGGTTTCCTTTGGATATATCCCTTAAGCACTGTGAATTCTCAATGTTTTGTCACTCAGCAAATCTATTTCTATTTTAGGGTTTCTATTTGTGGTACCATCATCTTTCCAGGTTCAGAATCACAATCTTCTGAATATGTTTTTCCACAATATATCAGTCCTACTATATCTAAGTCCTACTGATTCAATCTCTTCCGTGTACAGTACTCTTTTTTTTTTTTGCCATGCTGGGTTTTAGTCTTTTTTAAAATTCATTTTATTGTGGCATAAGCACTTTTTTCTTTGTACTGGGGATTGAACTCAGGACCTTGCGCTTCGAGGCAGGTATGGTGCCACTAAGCTAAATCCCTGACCTTGTAAGCACTTTTCTTTCGGTACGGGGATCAAACTCAGGACTTTGCACTTGTGAGGCAGGTGCGGTGCCACTGAGCTAAATCCCTGGCCCCCTGTAAGTACTTTTTAAAACACTTTTTAAGACTCTCTTCTCTTCTCCCTGCTTCCACTCCAGTGTAGCAAACATGCCCTGGACTGAAAAGATAACAGATCTAGGCTGAGAAACCTTTGAATAGTCTGAATAGAGTGGATGCCAGGGACCTATTACAAGGAGGCCATGCATAGCTTCTGCCATTATCCAGCCTCTAAGTTCCTTACCGTCAGCTCTAGCTCTTGCATCCCTCTGGGTATGGCTGTTGGCTGGACTCCTTGGGGGAGCAGGCCCTGGATCCATCAGCTGTGCCAGGGGGCCTTGCCCAGCAGCTCTGAGGCCAGCAGATGACGTCTCACTGGTCTGAGGGCCTTGACAGATCTGGGTAGACCAGGGCTCTGGGCCAAGTAGGTCCAGGCCTGGCCCCAAGGGCATGGATGGTAGGCTATGGCTACAGTGAGTGCCCTCATCCAGTGCACCCACCCTATCTTGCTGGGCTTCTTGGATAGGTGAGAACTCCTGGGAGGAGTCCTCAATGCTCACCCGAAGTGGGGGGGAGCCAGAGCCCGCAGCTTTTTTCCTGCATTTGGCCAGCTCAGCAAAGGAGGTGACCCTCTTGGGTGGGGAGCTAGGCCCAGCCAAGGCTGCAGGGCCCTCACTCAAGCGTACTGGGCAACTCAACATGCGTTCCAGTGAGCCCAGGCGGACAGGAGGGCTGCGCTCAAGGCTGCGGTCATAGCTGCGAGAGCGCTGGCGTCCAGTGCTGAGGTTGGGGGGTGAAGTATTCGTGTACACTTGCCCTTCGAGCACAGTGGGGCCCACGACGCCTGCTGGTTCTGCTGAGGAACCCACTGCTTCTTGTTCTTCTGGCTGTACTTCTGGCTTCTGGAAGAGGTAATACTCAGAGGGCTGACTGGGGCCAGGGTCTGGGTCAGAACTTGGTGGGGGACTTATCTTGGTATGTTCTTCACAGCAGCTGGTGATGGATGAGCCAGCTGGGCTTGGGGATGACTGAGAGGATAAGTCACAAGTGACAAGTTTATAGTAATTTTGTGTGGCCACAACAAGGCGGGCTTGGCTCTGGAAGCAGGCTGTGAGGTCAGCCACAGCTGGGCATGGCTCACAGCGTGGGCGGTAGGAGTTGCAGTTGGCATCAAGCTCAGGAGATGAGGCATGAGGACAACCACAGCCCCCTTCCCTTCCTCCACTTTCAGGGTGGTGGGACTCGCAAGACATCTTAGACTCTGCTGGGGAGGGTTGTAAGTCCAGGTAGAAGGCGCCAGGGTCTGAGTGGCTGCAGAAGGAAGAGTCACTGCAAGACTGTGGGGCAGAGTTGAGATTGGCACGGGAATTACTATGCATTTTGTTGTAAAGCGTGCTGAAGGTGACCAACACACCATCTGAACTGTTGCAGGAGGAGTCGCTGATATACCCCATGGACTGGTCAGCTGCCTCAGACTGACTGGATGTGCTACTGCAGCGGCAGTGCTGAGCTCCCAAGCCAGAACATTCGGGGTTCCTTGGTGATTCATCTGAACTGAGCTTCCATTCCTGGTCAAAGGAGAAGCCAGAAGTATCACTGGCTCCCCCACCACTGCCACTCCCACCAGGCCCCCCACACTCATCCAGCTCCATTGTCTCTGCTTCTAGCTCTGGCCGGCAGCAGTGGCTAGTGCTATGCCGCTGGGTATCAAAGGCCATCACTGGCTCCTTTTCCTGCCCCTCCACCACTCCAGCCCGGCTTCGTGTAGCCACCCATGGCCTGCCCACTCCAGGGCCAGATGGTGGCAGCTGGAAAGAAGACAGATGGGAAGTAGGCTGGCCAGTGCTGTGCAGGTGGAAGGACTGCTGTGTGGCACTGCCACTGATGTTGTCATCATACAGGTCACCAAGTCCTGGCTCACCCACACCCTCTTGCAGCAAGAAGGGATTGTGTCGTTTGGGGGCTCCAGGTCCTCTTCCATCCCGGCCTCTACTCTTGGTGCTGTCTGCAGACCGTGTAGATGCCCCTGGAGCAGAGTGCAGACTGCTGTAGAGCAGGGAGTCAGCTTGTCCCAGGTCTTGGTCAGGCTGGGTGACACCTAGGTCAGCTGGGCAGAAGGGATTGGGTCTTGTGCTCCCACTACCTCCACTTGCCCCTCCACAGCACTGCCTGTCTGGAACTTGACAGTGTACTAGGGGGATGTGGTGGACGATGAGGGTCTCTCCAGTCAGCTTTGGAGGACTATCCATTCTGGAAAGTTCGAATAAGGGCATCAACAGCACCAGACACTGCCCCCAGAGCCCAGTGGGGCAGAACACATTTCATCAGGAGAGCTTGGCACCTGGAGAGAAAGGGAAAGAAAGGGATCCTAATGTCACCTCCCTGGAAGTCAGGGACATGCCCTTCCCCGTAACATATTCAGATGGAGAAAGAGTCCAAAAGGAGAAAAGACTCCACATGAGATGGAACTCTGGTAGCACAGCCTGAAAGGGCAGGTGGGAAGGCCCCCACACTTTCTGCATTACACAGGTCCAAGTCCTGAGGTTCTCCCTCATTTTAAAGTCATCATGCATTCAACTGTGACAAAAGGCCAGGCCTCTTTTAATGCCACATCTGAATGTCTGGAGATTTCAGGGTCAGACTTTTCCTGTTCTTTCAAGGACTTTGTCTTTAGCAGTAAATGATGACTAATTCCAATTACAAAAAAAAAAAGTATGAATAGTGACATAACTAAGAACAAAACCATATAGGATGTCTGAAAGGGCACAAGGCACTAAGGGGCACAGAGATGCCTTATACACAGATATAGCACTCAGGCTTACAGATGGGAAAAATCATGACTAATATATCATGTACTCATAGAAGAAAGCTATAACTTTGCAAGAAATATATTTTAAAATATACTACATCAGTTGACCAAGTGACTGTCTTTTCTCCTATAAACTCCAGAATACTTTTTCTTCTTTGATGACTATGAGCTATATATTCTTTTTTTTTTTGGCACTACTAGGGATTGAACTTAGGACCTTGTGCTTGCAAGGCAGGCATGGTGCCATTGAGCTAAATCCCTGGCCCATGAGCTATATATTCTTACTGTCCTCTTACTGTCCTACTCTACTGTATTGAATTTTTTGAATGCAGGCTAAACTGGGGATTAGGATGCCTGTACGTATGGCTACTGTTGGCCTCTCCCCTCCTACGTGGGCGTGTGTGTTATTTTTATTTCTTGTATTATTCCTTGCAAACATGAAAGGCCTGATACAGTCTTAATATTTGTCTAGCTCATGGTATAGAACTCCTAAAGTACACAAATTCTGCTCAGTTTTACTAAAACCTTCACAACTGGAATCCCCTAGAAAGTCTTTTCTTCCCAAATTTGACCTCTAATAGGCTAAAGTTTTCTCTTGCTCAAGGTTGTCTGGTCCCAAAGACAAAGAGTTTATTCTGTGCTTCTCTGGTCTCTCAGCGGCACTGTGGCAGTAGCCTCCTCGAGTTCTAGTCTTCAGTGCTTCCAAGTTCAGGTCCCAGTAGTCTTCACTCACTCAGCCTCTTCATATCTAATTTCTCCTAATTCACTAATTTCTCTTCTTTCCCTTCTTAATTGCTATCATTTTCCTTCTACTCACTGTGGCTTTAAATCTCCCATTACCTTTCTCTTATTCATCATTTAACTGAACCCTTTCTTCAAATTTAACTCATTTAGACGTTTCAATTTCTTCAAATTTAACTCATTTAGATCATAAGACCACAGCTCTTCATGTGGAGTGTAGAAAGAGCTAGGCAAGTTACATATGCTCAAGGACATAGGTAATACCAATACATTAAAGTAAAAAATGAGGCTGGGGATTTAGTTCAGTGGCACTGCACCTGCCTGGCAAGTGCAAGGTCCTGAGTTTGATTCCTGGTATGGAAAAAAGAAAAATAAAATAAATAAAATTTAAAAATGCAAATGGATAACAAATATTGTGTGAAGGACAATTACACTGAAATATAATTATTTGTATTAAATTAAATCACATTAAAATTAAGAAGAAAGTATTTACAATCCTTTTTTCCTCCTTCCTATTCTGAGAGGACATCTCCCTTGTTAGACCTCAAGCTCTTGTGTGTTAACTGGAGAAATGGGTGTAGATGTACAAAGGCAGACAATGGGGAAGCTAACATGAGTTATAAGATTAAACTTAGAAAACATAAGACTAAATCTTTGTTATCTTGGATTAGAACACCAAAAATACAAGTGATTAAAAAACAACAACAACCAGATAAACTAGACTCCATAGAAATTAAACACATTTGTGCTTCAAAGGATACCACTAAGGAAACGAAAAGCCAGGGGGCATGACTATGATGGAGATACATTATATACACTGAACAGCCTCCCAAACACTGGAGTGGGGCCAGGAGGGTGATGGGGGGTGATTAAAGTATGTTATATGGATGTAAATATTTGTTAAAACACAACACGTATAATCTATATAACCAATATGCACTGATAAAAATGTGGGTGAAAAAAAATGAAATTCAAAGAACAGGAAAAAGCACTTGCAAATTATATACCTGAGACTTTTAATCAGAATATATGAAAACCTCTTACAATTCAATAATTAAAAAACAACTCAAAAACCTGTGTAGAGCGTATTACCAAAAGCGATCTATAAATTTAATGCAATCCCTAGAGAAATACCAACAATATTCTTCACAAAGCTAGAAAAAACAATCCTAAAATTCACACGGAAGCACAAAAGACCCAGAAGAACCAAAGGAGTCCTGAGCAAAAAAAGCAATGCTGGAGGCATCACAATACCTGATTTTCAAATTATACTACAAAGCTGTAGTAATAAAACAACATCAAACTGGTCCAAAAATAGACCTGTAGAACAATAGAATAGAATAGAATAGAAGACATAGAAACAAACCCATGCACCTACAGTCATCTGGCTTTTAACAATGGGGCCAAAAACACGTTGGAGAAAGATGGTCTCCTTAACCAACAATGCTGGGCAAACTGGATATACACATGTAGAAGACTGAAACTAGCTTCCTATCTCTCACCCTGTACTAAAATCAAATCAAAATGGATCAAAGACCTAGGTATAAGACCAGAACCATTGAAATTTCTAGAAGAAAACATAATCAACAAATGAGACTACATCAAATTAAAAAGCCTCTGCACAGCAAAGGAAACAATCAACAGAATGAAGAAGTGACTTAAAGGAATAAGAGAAAGGGCTGGGATTTAGCTCAGTGGTTCCACCACCTGCTCTCTGAAAGTGCAAGGACCTGAGTTTGATCCCTCATACCAAA